CATCGAATATCATTCGAAACCATCGATTTACAGCCATTTGACCACGACGTGATCCAAGTTTATTCCATTTTTTAGCAGATAGTATAGCATCTTCTTTAGTTCTCATTATATAATGATTTAGACGAATTTCCTTCATATCCACATAGTATCTTCGATCTGGTTGAAGTTTACTCGTGTGAAAATGGACAGACAATGATTGAATGATTTCAACACGGATCATTTCTTTACCATTACCTTCTTCACATGATGGCCAACCCCCATAGGATTTGCATTTGAACAAATCTCGTAAATCCTTTTCCTCATATTCACCAAGATAGCGATGTGGCTTGCGCCATAAATTAGTGGTACGTAATGAACGATTGAGCATTTTGTTATTTGTATCTAGGACATAACCTAAAGAAAATATAATTCATTAAAAAAAAGAACACATTTAGATTACCATAACGAATCTCATTAAAATGAAATTGATCGTATTTATAATAATTCTTCAATATTATATCAGGTTTTCGCACATTAAGATATTCATCAATATTTTGAATCATCAATAAATCTTCTGGATGCATTGGTTTATCCACAAAACATGATGAAAGACAATAATGACATTCTTGAAAATGATTTGGTTTTTCAATATAAGCAATTGGAAATTGTTTTCGAAGAGATGTTGACAATGGTTTACCAACATTGATCAAACAAACATTTTTAAAACCAACAACATTGAATTGATGATCAAGCCAATCAATCAAATAATGTTCAGATTCATTATAAATTTGAGTACAAACATAGTATGAATAATGTTGATTCACACTGATAGACTTCAGTCTTGGTGACGCGAAGAGTAAATAAAACAATACAAGATCAACAAGAAACAAGACAAAAATAAAATGATTTAGAAAACGAAATTTTACGCAAAAATGAAACAGTTCGATGACTATATTGGCCATGCGAGACCATTATGAAAATGGTAGTGCATCTATTAAAAAACTAATAAAGTGAAGATAGGAAAGAGAACATACACGCATGAATGATTTTTTTCTTTTATTGTATTTATTTGACACAATTTCTCCAATCATTTGTCTTTTTAGATTGATTTTAAATTAAAAAAAAACATTCAATTTTTATTTCAAAAGGACAATCTAAGAAGGTTCAAAATATTATGCAGCCTTCAACTACTAGTCATACACTTTCTTTACTCCGAATTGTTACCTAAACTTTTCATACTATATAAAACGTTCGAGCATCATTTTGAAAAAGATTGCATGACATATCTATCAATTTCCATACTTTTTCTTCCTCATAGTTTACACCATCTCAAAATATGTTTATCAGGCTACAATTGCTACGTGTAATTAACATGAGCTTTAATTATCATTTGATTAAAACATTCAACATCTTGTAGTTTTTGCCGATAACCTATGTGTGGATGCTATTGTCGGTATGAGTGTTGGCATAGAGAAGACTCATACACACCCACACCCACATCCACCCACACCCACATCCACCCACACTCACATCCACCCACACCCACATCCACCCACACCCACATCCACACATACCCACACCCGTACCCATACCTATACCCACACTCCCACCCACACCCACATACCCACCCATACGACACTCACACTCTATAAGACAGAATCCCTGCAACAGAGAATTTTGCGGACTTTCAGAATCACTATTTTGAACTTTTTCAAAGTGTAAGATTTCGCGAGAAAAATGGAAAATATATGTGAATGAATAATTTTGACAGCCACTGTGCAGGATAGGTAAAAATATTTATCCAGGGCGTAACGCTGTGATTTTAAATAGAGTCAATAACAAATTTTATACCAAACGAAAGCAGATCAAAAATGGGATTTATTAGTATTAAATGGTAAGGGTTCTACAAAACTTTTTATATCAAACATAATAAATCTCAAGAAACAGGATACATAAAAATGGTTTTCTATGGGGTAATGCTGTGATTTTAAATAGGATTAATGACAAATTTTATATCAAATGAAAAGGCATCAAAAATGGGATTTCTCAGTATTAAACAGTAAGGATTCTGTCAATCTTTTTATATCAAACATAACAAATTTCTAGAAATTTTCGCAGCATCACTTCGTAGAAAACCATCAATTTGAATCAAATTTAATTTTGAACTGCCTCATGAAAGAACTTTTTTCATACTAAAATAGCGAAAATTTCTAGAAATTTGTTATGTTTGATATAAAAAGATTGACAGAATCCTTACTATTTAATACTGAGAAATTCCATTTTTGATGTCCTTTCATTTGATATAAAATTTGTCATTGACCCTATTCAAAATCACAGCATTACTCCGTAGAAAACCATTTTTATGTATCCTGTTTCTTGAGATTTATTGCGTTTGATATAAAATGTTTTGTAGAGCCCTTACCATTTAATACTAATAAATTCCATTTTTGACATGCTTTCATTTGGCATAAAATTTGTTATTGACTCTATTTAAAATCACAGCGTTACTCCCTGGAAAAATATTTTTACCCACCCTGTATATCTGTCTCTGACGCATTATATTGCATGAGTAACTTCATTCATAGTTCGAATTTTATGTTGAGTAACTACTTTATTTTTCTCATATGAATGATCTTCGAGTATACCCGTCAGCGACTTTCTGTTAAACTTTTTAAGTGAGAGATGTACACTTCGCGATACTTTAGCCTTCATACAAGTCTTTTTTTATGTTTGCTCTTAAATGCTTCATACGCATTTTGTGGGATTAATAAGTATATTTATGTTTTTCGTCAAACCTTTCAAGTGAGATGTTTTTTTTTGTGACATTCGTATGTATACATATATTTGTCGTTATGATTTGTTCTCCTATGAAAAATACACTTTTCGCGAAATAGTGAATTCACTGTTCTTCTATCAATCAATTCAGCTCAACCTCATTGGATTCGATTTTTAGCTACCATCTGAAGGTGTATTCTCAGCTGTAATGATGTATATTTATAATCAAGGTTTGAATTGACTTTGTAGTTGAAACGATAATTCCACTATTGCAGTTCTTTCTTGATAATTAATATATCAGCAGAGAAATCATGTTTGGACGGTATACCAAAGATGATGAGTATGGTTTCGTTGAATTTAATAAGCAAAGTAACGTTCACAATCCATTTTTGAGATGGTTCTATCAACAACATTGACAAATGATCATGAGTAATTTGTCAAGCAAATAGAATTAATACCAGATCATAGTGGTCGAAAGAAAACGAAAATTTTGCTTTTGTTGAACTTGAAACGTATTCATGGCGAGAATTCTCATCACCATGATGACTTTATTCTTGCTAATCAAAAAGTCCGTATTTCTGTTTTATTCACTCATACAATGTACAAATTAAACCTTCTTACTTTGATCGAATAAGTTTTTGTATCTGTCCGAATGCTTATCGTGAACAGATAATGCTTTGACATATTTAATAGAACATATTTTTCTTTTCTTATAAACTTAAACCGATGAGTTACTTCGATCTTGATCTGCTTCAAATGATTTCATCAGGTTTTTAGAATACATAGAGATTTTCAAAATGATTTAAGTTTCATTGAACTTATTTTAGCAAATATTTACTCAGATCAACATAGGTTTCAATTGATAATACATCATTTAATGAAACATATTACTAGAGAAAACCGATCAAGTATGTAGGTGTTTATTATTGATTGAAAATCAAATTTTCGCATTTGTTCACTATGAATAGAGAAAACTTATTTAAGATTATTGACCACAGAATGATGAAGATGGGTATTTGTAAAAGATGTGATCATCCACGATCACCCCGAAATCAACAAATAATACCATGGGCGGATCGAGCTCAATGGGCTGATTCTACAAACACCGACGATCATTTAAAACATCGAATTATAAAAGTGATTGTCTAGTGAACACTGATTATTTTGAATCTAAGATCACCCATAGCTTTTGCTAGTAGGTAGAGCTAGTCGAGTTATATACTTCCTCCAAATTTCAACTTTCTAGAAGCTTGCTTAAGAAAAACAACAGGGACTGTATTTTCTCAGTTACCAAGGGTGATGCTTGAATAGCTCGTTTTAGAGTAACCCTTGATAACTGAGAAAACACGGTCGCTGCTATTTTTCTTAAGTAAGCTTCTAGAAAGCTGAAATTTGAAGGAAGTATACAACTCGGCTAGCTCTATCCACTGACAAAAGCTATGGGTGATCGTGGGTTCAAAAAAATCAGTGTTCACTGGACAATCACTTTTATAATTCGATGTTTTGAATGATCGTGAGTGTTCGTAGAATCAGCCCATTGAGCTCGATCCGCCCATGGTATTGTTTGTTGACTTGAGAGTGATCGTGGGTAATTGCGTCTTTTACAAATACCCTGCTCTTATCGTTTTAAAAACTAAAAGATTAGTTGCGTTTCTGAGAAAGTTAATGTGGAAGGAATTATTCATTGAGTTACGTAAATCGAGACGGAAAAGTTCTTTCTTATTACGTGACATCTCTTAATGACTCTTCCTTCAAAGAAAATATTACAAGTGTGTTTGGTTCTTCTAGCTTATTTCGATATCGGAAAAAACTACCTAATTGCACTCACATTTCTTGAGTATATTTGTGCATTGAATGAAAGTGCGTAATTTGAGTACAAATAACTCCTGTTTAATGCCATTTTACCCTATACGCATCAAAATATAATTTTTTGTCTACTACAGAATAAACACGATTACAGAATAATTCTTGCATAAATAAAAAAACATATACGTAGTCTATTGCCTAAGGTTATTTTCATTCTTATCATAGAAACGTATAAGGTCTTTTATACAAAAAGAAGAGTAAATAACAGAAGAACAAGTATCACGGTTAATTTTCAAAATCAATAGTGAGAGAGATCGCTTGATATAAAGGACGTTTTTGTGTAACTAGTAGAACACAGCAGGTTTGTACGAATTTGCCATAGTTTAAAACACACAGTCTCAATTACATTCCGATATTATCTGAATTGTGAAATAAATCAAATGGCTATCTGGTACGTATTTAGGAGCTTAGAATGGACTATATAATAATGCCGTTATTTTCATTCCATATAGTTCAGCAATTGATAAAACACCTCGATGGCTAGTTATTCTTATTGGTGTTATCAGTGGAGCTGCCTTACTTTCAGTGTGCATCGCTACACTAGTTGTTGTAGCTCGTAACCAACGACAGAATGTAGAGGTAAGTACAACAACAACAACAACAACAACAACAACAACAACAACAACAACAACAGCAAAAACAACAACAACAACAACAACAACAACACCATCAACAACGACAACATCAACAACAACAACAACAAACAAAACGGCAGTACAAACAACTAGCACAGGTAAAGTACTAGGGAAAGCTGAGCTGCAACGAGATTAACTTTCTGGAAACCTCCTCTGATGTGAAGGTTTTTTTAAAGGATATTTAAAGTTAAATGGAAGCATTTGTCTGCTATCGGGAAAATGTGGCAATTTGCGAGGAAGTCGTCAACGAATAGATCACTTTTTGCTTGAGACTCCTTGAAGAACAGGTTATTGAGTGGTGCTGAATCCAGATATCAC